TCCCTTTTGTTTTTTTTTAATAAAACAGACATGAGTAAAGCCTTCCCCAAGTCTTTTCTTCCCCACCTCTTCCTCCCCAAGCAATGGTTCCTCTAACTACTGTGTAATTCTCACTCATTGCTCACTTCATATTACAATTTATCTTTTTGTCAGATATATCCTCATAAACAGTACATATAAGTCTCATTTGGTACATTTTTTAAATTTACAGACTCTTTTGCAACTTGCTTTTTTCCCACTCAACAGCATGTTTGGAGATTTATTAAAGGGCTAGGTAAATCAAACTGATTTTTTTTCATATCATGGCTTTGTGTAAAACAGTTCAAATGAACGAACCAGAGCTGCATGTGGCACCTCCCACAATAAGCACACCCCTTGATGACACATTTCCAGCAACAAAATTAGAGTAGCAGAGCCAGGACTCAGCCCAGGCCTTTTCAAAGTCTAACTTTTTTTTAAGATTTCATTTATTTATTTTTAGAGACGGCGAAGGAAGGGGGGAAGAGAGGGAGAGAAACATCAGTCAGTTGCCTTTCGCAACTCTAACGTACCTATGACACCATTAAACACGAGTGTACCTACTCTCTCCTTAACTATCACCTTCCTACTCAGTTTTCTGACTAAACAATTGCCCTGTGACCAGAACTCTAGTTCCAGAACTTTCACATACTTATTTTTGTTAAAGTAGCTGAAGCAAGAATTTGCCTGAGGCACTGTATTGGCCTAGAATTATCCACAAACTGGGCACCAATAGAGCAACCCTTTCAGGGGTGGGATGATGGAAGATCCTAAATGAGAGCAGTGGGACCCCAAGAAGATGAGGCTTCCTCACCTCGGGGTACCCAGTTGCAGGAAATGAGCAGCGACTTGGGCTCAGTGAGGCTGAAAGGTAGCGATTCTCCTCATTTACAAGATGCAATAGCTGGTAGCGATACTCCTCATTTACAAGATGCAATAGCTGTTTTTCCAGTTGCTACTGGGACCACTGTTTTGACCTCTTATCTGCAATGGTAAAAACTGCAAAAAAAGATCCTGTAGTCTGAGATAAGTAGTTCTCTTATCTTACTTAGCTCTGATGCCAAGACAACCTCTAGGGCTGCTCTGTACTTCAAAGAGCCAGCTTCAGCCAAGGCCTGAGGGTGACTTGCTTTAACCACCTGCTCTACAGCTTAGTCTCAAGACGACAAGAAGGGATACTTTTTTTTTTCTTATTCTCAGATCACAAAGGGAAGACAGGAAGATAAACTTCAAAAAACCTTCCCCAGAGCTGGAATTCTAACTGCCATAACATCAGATGTCAGCCCTGGTTAGCCTGCTGTGTGACACTGCGTGGGTCCTGCGCCTTTCTGTGTAATATTTCCAACATTCATAAACTGCACTTCAATCCCTTGTAAATTGCATTTTATCATCTAGGAGAAACCTCTGGGGGCCACAAAGGCCTTTTCAGGGAGGCTAATCTCTCAGTGGACAGGGAGTCGCTTGAGGGGAGATTTAATACCAAACAGAAATACATTCTTTGATGTGGACAGTAACTGAAACATTTTCTCAATCTTTGCTAAGTGTGAGTGAAAGCATCCTCGCTATTTTTATTGATCTGCTAAAAAACACCTGCAGTAAAACAAATCTGCTTGCTGTGCCAACTGGACAGGGAGGCAACTGTTCCTCCCATATAGAAACTCTGTAGCTATCCTCTCAGCAGGTACTAGGCCAAGGTTACCAGAGAATGATAACAGAGAATACAGAAAAATAACTTTTTTCTTTCCTCCAAGGTCACTTTGAACACTAGGTTTGAAGCTCCCCATTCCTTCTGGGAAGGAAAAGGTTCAAGTAAGGTAAAGCATGTTCTCCAGTCCAACCGTGGGTCTCAGGCTTGCCCAGCTTCCCGGAACAAAAGTGCCCACCCCAGGGGTCCTCAGAGGTCTACTTTATCTGACTGCTAACTAGTAAAATTAAGAGATTTGACTTGAATGGTAAACACACAATGCTATATACAGATGATGAATTATAGAATTGTACATTTGAAACCTATATAATTTTATTAACCAGTGTAACCCAATCAACTTAATAAAAAAGAAAATTAAAACTCCACTTTTAAAATGCCACACAGACCTTCCATCCTGCATCTTTCAAACTGAATGTGGCTTTTTCTCCAAGGTTACACAGAGAGTTTGAAAGGGAAAACTATATTACAAGAACTTTATGTATAATAATTATATAGCTGAATGGGGCATGAGAGATTACTGAATCCCTACCTCCTTTTTCTTGGTGTCATGTCAAAAGCGATTGAGGACTTACTGGTTAATAGTTTCAAAAGATTCTGACTGAATTTACCAAAAATAATAATGATAAAGGAAGGAGGCAGAGACGGTGGCATTCAACTTATGAATAAAAACAATTAATCCTTCCTTCCATTTATATAAGGTGCCTAACCATAGTCAAATTCATAGAGACAAAAAGTAGAATGGCAGTTGCTGGGGGCTGGGCAGAGGGGGTAATAGGAAGTTAGTATTTTACGGGTACAGAATTTCGGTTTTGCAAAATGAAAAGGTGGTTTTAGAGATGGATGGTGGTGATGGTTGCACAACAATGTGAACATACTTAATGCCACTGCCCTATACACTTAAAAAGAGTAAAGATGGTAAATTTTATATGTATTTTACCACAATTTTTTTAATTGGGAAGAAAAAAAAAAAAGAACAAGAAATCTCTTGACCTGCTAATTTTCATTTGGGGACCAGGATGTCATTGTGGCTAGTAGCTAAGACTCTGGAGTTCTGAGTTTCTCTCTCTGTTCTGCACTTACTAGCTGGGAACCTCTGGGCAAGTCTTGGACATCTCTGACACTTTCTTCATCTACAAAAGTGGAAGTAATAGCAATAATAGTCTCCTACTTCATAGGCTACCAGGATAAAAGAACAAGGTAACAGAATATCATTTGCACAAGAATGAGGACTTGCTAAATGGTTCTTATTAACATTTTTAATAATAAATGAGTTTAGTATTCAGTGATGTTACTTAAAAGTCAGCAATAACTAAATGATAACAAAATTACTATTATCAGAGAGAGCTATAAATGCATGAAAAGATTTTGTTTTAGGAGAAAAAGAAACCCAGGTTAGGAGTCAGAAGACGGGCTTTAAGAGTGGTTGTGGGCACGAGATTTCTCCTCGGTGACACACAAGGATTGACAAAGATGATCTCTTAGATTACCAAGAAGCCAGATGAGCTTTGCTGCTTGGCTGGAGCCAGCCCTGGCAGCACCTCCCTCATCTCCTAAGCTCCTCGGAACGTCCTGGGCGAGGGAAGGGGTCCAAAGGTCGTGCCAAAGAGAGCTGACAACAAAGCCCCTTCCTACGCCTGAGGCGGCGGCATGGTGCAAGGTTTGTGCAAGACACCCACGCATCGTGGGCAAAGGTCCCGCACCCCCGCTCCTCCTCGCCAAAGTCTGCAACTCCGCCTGCTGGAGGAGCTGCAAAAAGGTCTAGCAGAGACCCCCAGAAAAGGCACCCCCAAAACAGCCTGGTTTGCAGAATTATAAATACCTCCTCCGCACATGCGCACTGAAATTTACGAGCTGCTCCGAGACACAACCGCACCCACTGCGCCTGCGCTGTCCGGCTCTCATCCACGCACAGGGTAGGAAAGGGAGATCCCGTGGTCCCACGAAGAAAAAGAATGGGTCTGCGGCCGCCGCTCGGTCCCCGTTTTCTCGTTTCTTACCTCATAATGCTTCATGACTTCCTCACACGGCGACTGCTGCGACTGCTCCCCCTCCGGCTATTTCTGCCAGCGACGCAGGACGGATCCCTCACGCGTTCACCACCACCGCGCGAGACTAACTCCGGCTCCTCGTCCGCCCCACCCCTCCCTGCCGCGCGGCCCCCTCCAGCCAATCAGCGGGCAGGGCACCCACCTCCGTCCCCGCCCCGCAGGCGGTCGGAGGGAGGACTAGCCGCTCTCGCCCTAGGGATGGCCAATCAGCTTGCGGAACTCATCGAGGGGGCGGAGCGCGGGCAGAACCTGAGCGTGGAAAAAGGGGCGTAGCCCCGCACCAATCAAAATTGGCCCTGAGGCCGCGGGCCCCTTTCCCTGCCCCTTAGTGGCGTCGCTGTGGAAACCAAGGGAAGCGAAGGTTACTGCGTAGCGCGGGGCGGGAGCGAAAAGTTGAGTGACAGGGAGGGCAGCATCCACGTGGCCCGCAGCGAGGCTGCGTGAATTCGGAGGTGGGCGGCCCCTGGCCCCTGGGAAGAAACGGGAGAGGGCTAGGGGCTCGGGGCGTAGGCTGAAGTGCCTGGATGAAGAGACCTCTCCAGGGAGGGGACCCGTATCTGTCATGAATGGGAGGGAAGGAAAGGAGAAATGGGTGGCGAAAAGCACCCTGGGATTCTCCCAACCTGCACCCTGGGGGTGTCTTCACTGCCCTTTTCACTGCAAGGTGTCCTCCCCACTGTTCCCCTTAAGGGCAGGAGGCCCACATTTGTCTCCACCTGCGCTGTCGGGTACATCACCACATGAAGCTAGCGAGCCTTTGAAATATGTCTGGTCCAGTTTGAGATGTGCTGTATAAATGTCAAACACACCAATTTCAAAAATAGTATGAAAAGGAGGGGTTTTTTTAATCTCATAACCTTTTCTGTTGATTACACCTTGAAATGATATTTTGGATATATTAGATTAAGATACATTACTAAAATTAAGTTCTGCTGTTCCTTTTTACTTTTTTAACGTGCTTATTGGAACATTGAAAATCACAGACACAGCTCACATTTGTGGCTGGCAGTTGTGCACACACTACCTCTACTGGGCAGTGCTGATCTGGGGTCATGCCATCTTTTGTCATGAATGGGCTTGGGAAGTTGGATGCTCACACACATAACACACACACACACACACACACACACACACACAACACGGACTCATGCACACAATCTAGACTTCAGGACAGGCTAAGGAGTGGGGAGCACCTGGCACACCCTCTCACCTTCTCTTCTTTCTCCCAGCCCCAGGTCTGCTGCTGAGACACCATCAACAGTTGCTCCCTCTAGAACCCAGAGATCTGACATCAGGGAGATGGCGAGAAGTCCTGAAAGGTAGATCTCTGAATCATAGGGGAGTGGGGCGGGGCGGGGGAGCAACCTGCTGCCATGTGTGGATGAGTCATTGCTGAACCCTTAATGATCCAGATTCAGTTCTAGAAACTTCTGAAGCTACATTTTTTGGGGACTTCCAAGTAACAGCCAAGGCTATGGTCTTCAGAAACTCAGTATCTTTTTCACTGTGCCCATGTGGACAAAACAGATGAAAACACAAAGGTGTTTTATAACTGCACTTTCAAAAGCACCTATCTTCTGTTAGTAGTTGTGGGGCTCACAGTATCTTGAAACCCTTTGTGTCCCAACAGGCCACCTTGCTGCCCTATAAGGGGGACAGGGGAGTACTCTGATGCCACAGGTTAAAATCCTACCAAGTTGAGTTACTTGAGATGTCTAATTGAGGTGCTGAAGGAGCAAGATTGAACCCCTAAAACCTAGCCACATTTTGCTACTTTACCAGTTGTAGTGATTTGTAGCTTCTCCTGTGTGGCCTGAGTAGACACATCTTCCCGATCACTAGGTACCAGATAGATAATGTGGTGTTGTGGCCAAATAAATGACATTGGACAGACTGCACATACATTTCTACAGACTGGAACATTCTGGAGTTCCTTTTTTGAGACTGCTTTCCTGAGCTGCACACTCATTCAACAGGAACCAAATTATTTTATGAACCTACTATGTTATGTGTCATCAGAGGCACACAAATAATTTCCACCCTGCTCACCCACAAGAGGCTCATAGGAAGGCAGGAACAAGCCTCTGGAGAATTCTTTACTTTTGACAATTAGTGCAGGAGTGAGAATCCCTTGCTGACTTCATCTGGCTTCCAGTAACCAGGCTGTCGGCAAAAATCAAATCCACCCTTGAATGAATACTGGCCACTTTAAACAGCCATTCGTGACACTGTACTGTAGCTCTGGCTGTGGCTGTCATTAGGGACAACGCGATCGTGCTTGTGCCCTCAGCATCCCCAGCACAGTGGTGAATTTAAACAGTGACAAGTAGACACATTTGGTGCTTGCTGATCCGACTGCAACAAGCCCCTGAGAGTAGTTTCCAAATGGAAAATTCCAGAAAGATCTTGCATTTGGCAGCTCTGAAAGATAAGCAGGGCCTCCTGGGGTCTCAGATTTGGGTGAACCCACAGTCATTTGGACATCAAAGAGCTGGTATGTTCAGTAGTATCTGGCTCCTTTTGTATTTTCCACATGCAGGAAAGGTAGGATCTTGATTTTCCCAGAACCTGGTTTAGCTGGTTTGCAGGAGCAGGACAGAGCTGGTTCAGAGAATGTGGGGAAGGTGAAGCAAAGATCAGACAAGCTAGGGCTGGTTAGCAACCTTCCATTGTGTCAGGAGTCCCAGAGGGAGATCTCCGAAAGCCTGCTCTGTTTCGCCATTTTTATTTTTTGTTAAGCCAGTGTGAGATCTTTTTTCTCCTTTGTTTTTTCATTGAGGTATATTTTACATACAGTAAAATTCACCTTTCTCAGTGTATAGTTCTGAATACAGACAGCTGTATAACCACCCCAGTCAAGATATAGAGCATTTTCATCATCCCAAAAATTTCTCCTGTACCTCTCTTTAGCAGATCCCAGTTCCTGGCAACCACTTTCTGCCCCCAATACTTTTGCCTTTTCCAGGAGGTCCTATAAAATGTCATCACACAGTAAATAGCTTTTTGAGTTAGCCTTCTTTCACTAACAATGTATTTGAGGTTTATCTGCATTATTTCCTGTATCAGTATCTTGTTTTCCTTTTTAGGGCTGAATAGTATTCCCTCTTGTTGCTGGATCAGTTTGTTCATCCATTCATCTACTGAAAGACACTTAGGTTTTAATGGCTTTCAGTAATAATGAATAAAACCTTGATAAACATTGGTACATGGGTTTTATGTGAACATGGGTTTTTTTTTTCCACAGCAGCTTTATTCAAAATAACCAAAAATGTTCATTCAGTGATGAATGGATAAACAAACCATGGTATATCCATGCAATGGAATACTTCTCAGCAATAAAAAAGAGTGAGTGAACTTGGGTTTTTATTTCACATGGGTATTCAACCAAGGGTGAGAATGCTGGCTTATCTGGCAGTAGTGTTTTTGAATGCATTCTTGATGAAGAGAAGAATTGAAAAGAGTGCATTTTCCTAAATTAAAGCTTTACCGTTATCTGAATCATATCTTACACGAGCTGAGTGCTTTTACCAGAAGCACTCTGTGTGCTAAACACTCCACACTTCAGCATCTTACTCCCTGGATGACCTCAGTCAAGTCACGTGAGTGCTCAGAGCCTGGTTTCCCCACTTGTAAAATGAAGGTAACATTAGGCCAACCTCCCAGGGTAATTGCGAGGATTATATGGGTTAATACACACTGAGCACTTAAAAATGGCTTGGCACATAGTAGGGCCATGCCCATGTTAACTGATACTATAGTGTTCATTTCTTGGCCCCTCTTAACTTCAACCACATAGCAACCCTAGGTAGTAAGAGCAAGCAAGTTGTGTTAAGATCGCACAGGCAGTAAATAAATAAATAGTGGGTCCAGGATTTCGCAGAGGGAGGGAAACATCAATGTGCAAAAGAAATATGGATCAGTTCCTCTCACACACCCCTAACTGCTGACCTTTCAGTTCACTGTTGGGCGCTCAACCCACTGAGCCACAAAGGCTGGAAACTCATAGGAGCTGATACTTCTTCCTCAGGAAAACCTCAGTATTTCTTGTGTTTTTTTTAAGTTAATTTTTGATTTTTAAAATTTTTTTCCAATTACAATTTACATTCAATAGTATTTTGTATTTAGTTTCAGGTATACAGCATAGTGGTTAGATAATCATATACTTATCAAAGTGTTCCCACTGATACTTCCAATACCAAACTGTCACTATACATACTCATTGCAATATCATCAACTATATTTCCTATGCTGCACTTTATACCCTCATGACTATTCTGTAACTGCCAATCAACACTTCTCAATCCTTTCACCTTCTTCACCTGGTCCAGCAACCCCCTCTTTCCTGTTTCTGGTTGGTTGGTTGGTTTGTTTTCATATTGTTCTTTAGATTCCACGTATAAGTGAAATCATGGTATTTGTCTTTCTCTGACTGGCTTATTTCACTTAACATAATACCCTCTAAATTCATCCATGCTGTCTCAACATGGCTGAGTAATATTCCATTGTGCGTATGCACTGCAGCTTTCTTATTTGCTTGTCTATACATGGGCACTGGGGTTGCTGGCATAGCTTGACTATTGTAAATAATGCTGCAATGAACATAAGGGTGCATAGATATTTGTTTTTAAGGCCTTTCCATATTTTGTTTTTGAGAGAGAGGGGAAGGGAGGGAGAGGGAGGAAAACATCAATGTGAGAGAAAAACATCCATCAGTTGCCTTTCATATATACCTTCACTGGGAACCAAACCTGCAACCCAGGCATGTGCCCTGACCAGGACACATGCCCAGCCAACTGAGCCACACTGTCAGGGCTCAGTGTTTGCTTTTAAAGCCTTGCAGCTGATTGGATGAGGCCTACCCACATTATCCAGTTATCCCCTGTACTTACAGTCAACTGACTGAAGAGGTTAACCTCTTCTACAAAATACTTCACAGCAACTCTTAGATTAGTGTTTAATTGAACAACTGGGTACAATAGCCCAGCCACACTGAGGCATAAAACTATCACATTTTCTCTGGGTTGAGAATTGAAGATCTACTGAAATTTCCAGAAGCAGAGGCCACTTTTCCAATAACATTCTGAAGTGCCCAGTGAGTGTCCAGGCTAAAGAATCCTAAAGAGAGGTGTTAGGGGATTTTTTTGGGGGGTGGGGAGTGGTTAAAAAGTGAAAACTTCCTGAATTTCCTGAACATGAGCCAGGTTTATTTAAGAAGGCAGGCCCAAAACTCGCCCCCAAAGAAGAGGACACCCAGAGCCATTTGAAGACCTTCAGAGGCTGTCACATTTGTAACTCTAAACTAAATTTATCATATAAAATAAATACCAGCTTTTAAGTGTAAGGAAATCCAGAAACTCTAGGTTTTTCTCCATCATAATGCCTCTTTTATTTACGTTGACGGGAGAGACTTGGTTTTTCTTGCTGATGCATGTAAAGAAGCACAGATCAGCCCTGGCTGGTGTGGCTCAGTGGATTGAGCACTGGCCTGTGAACCAAAGGGCTGCTGGTTCAATTCCCAGTCAGGGCACATGCCTGGGTTGTGGGCCAAGTCCCCAGTTGGGGGTGTGTGAGAGGCAACCACACATTGATGTTTCTTTCTCCCTCCCTTCCCCTCTAAAAATAAATAAAATATTTTTTTTTAATTACAGATCAGCAAAGCTATTACTGTGCAATCAGTTTATTAGTCATCCAGTCCCATGGGAAAAAAAATGAGCCTAGCTAGAGTTGGGGGGCAGGGGTTGAAAGACATAGGTTCAGGGCAAAGCAGGGTGGTAAAAGTGAGGGTGGCTGAAGGCTGGGGTGGCAAGTCCCCGGATGGCCTGAGAACTTGGCCAAGAGAGCCAAGAGTGCCCAGAGCATCAAGAGAGCGAGTTCTTTGTTTTGAGGACTAACATAGTTGGTGGGATGTCAGTAAAAAAAAGTTACATATTGATTAACAGGTAAATTTGGTGCCAGCTTTCCTGGGGGGATGTGATTACCCAAACTTAGGTAATGTGTGGGGGACTGTTAGCCCAAATCCTTATCTTGCTCCAGACTCCATTGGTTCATCTTTTTGTAAGACAGATACATGACAGGAGGCAGTTTATTGAAGTTGGGGCAGTCACCCAAAGTTTCTTAAGGGCTCTTTCTGTAAGCATTAGGGACTCCTTCGCAAAACAGATAGTGACCAGAGGTAGACAATTAACCAAAGTTGTTTCATTGGCTTCTTCTTTGGGCACCGTGGACCCTCTCCTGCATTCCAGGTTTTGGAATGAAAGCACAGTTTCAAGGCCTTCTTTCCCAGATGGTGGAAATGCTACACAGGATTTCAAGGACTTCCCTCCTTCTCTGCTAACATAGTGTTTCTTGTGATGTTGAAACACCTGGCAATACTATCAGACCAGGCTCAGGACTGCTGAGTTAGTGGGTGAGACATGTCTCCCTCTTCCTCCCTGTCTTGGTTTACTATTCATTCTACCTAAGTGATAAAAAGCATTTCTGGGCAACCAGGATGCTAGACGTTGGCCAGTAACAGCAGCGCAGTCTGAGTTCTTCCTATGCTGTCTCCTGCCTCATTTACGTAACTTTTTAAAACTCAAACTCTCTTTCTCCCATGATTGGTTCATGACCCTCTGCTGTGCTGTACGGGTGGACACACAGCCCATAGCCATCCTCCCAAATGGACCAAAGCCCTTACATGGTTACCCTGGGGTCGGTGAGCAGCCATGGAGGGCTGGAATCTCCCCACGGGACCGCAGGGAAGGCTAGCACCATCTTTCTCAGGAGTCCCAGGCTGCCAGGAAGCAGGTGGTTCAGCAGCTCATTCAACAAGAGGGTTCGTCACCCCTCTGAGAGCAGTTCCTCTGTGCCAGGCCTGTCCTGGGCACATTACAAATGTTGACTCATGTCAACTTCAAAGTTCTGTGAGGCAGGTACAGCCACCAACCCCATTGCACAGATTAGGAAGCTGAGGACCAGGATGGCTCAGTAACCAGCTCAAGGTCATGCAGTCAGGGAGTGCTGGAACCAAAATGACACCAACTGTCTGGCTTCAGAGCCAATGTGACACCGCCCTGACCCCTGGGCGGCCCCCACTGCCTACCCCCTCTTCCCTATGCCCTTCCCAAGCAATACCCCTTTCAGAACCTCCTTTTCCCATCAGCCCTGTCCTTGACCAGAGGCGCCTGACTCCCAGAGCCAAACGGCATCATGATGCCCACAAAAGAGGAAACAGAGGCCATGAGAAGTTCAGGGCACACCCATCTTCCCCCAAATCATAAAGGTAGTGGAGAGAGAAAAAGGAGCAGGTGCAGTCAAAACACCTAGAAATAGTCACGAAGCACCCACTGCAACTGAGTGGCAAACACCGTTCAAGGCACTGGAGACCCAGCACTGACAGGACTCAGTCCCTGCCCTGGTGGGGATCACAGGCCGAGAGGCAGGTGACCTTTAGCTTTAAAATCAAGGAACAAGATAACCTCAGATTTCAGTGGCACGTGTTCTTGAGCAAACGGAAAGTGCAAAGCCTGAGAAGCGGCGGGACCGGGGAGACCTACTTCTGGAGGTGAGCTTTAGTCCCAGGTCCTCATCTCGCTTTATAAGGACCTGTCTGGTGAGGACAAAGACAGTCTTGGGGTTTCAAATGCCCTCTCCTCACTGCACGAAGAAGAGGGGCGGGTGGGTATTTTTATTGGCAGAAAGAGGAATGTGGGACAGAAAGAGGTTAAGCAACTTGCTCAAGGTCACCTGTCAAAACCCGACCCTGTGAGTTGCCCAGCGCGCAGCTTTATCTTCTCCACAGCAGCTTGTGGTAACCGATTACCGAAGCACGGGGCGGAGGGGGCGGCAGGCCTGGTTACCTCGGGCGGGGAGACGAGTACGCGACGCACTCCCCGTGGGGAGTGGGCGAGGCCTCCGTCACGCAGAGCTCGCGCCCCGGGGGAGGCGTTGCCGAGGGCTGAGCGGGAAGAGGCGTGGCCTCGCGTGGGCGGCCGTTGGTGGCGCGGCCCCGCCCCGGATGTCGCGCGCCATAGGCTGAGAAGCGGTGATTGGTTGTTGCGGTGTGAGGGGCGTGGCGGAAGGTTCTGGAGAGGGCTGGCGGGCTCTGGAAGCTTCCGCCGGACGGGTATATAGAGTCCGGGACGGGGCGGCGGCAGCGCGGGGGGAAGTAGATAGCTTGGCGGCGGGCCGCAGGCGGGGGCCATGGGAAAAGACTATTACCAGACGCTGGGCTTGGCCCGCGGCGCGTCGGACGAGGAAATCAAACGGGCCTACCGCCGCCAGGCGCTGCGCTACCACCCGGACAAGAACAAGGAGCCCGGCGCCGAGGAGAAGTTCAAGGAGATCGCCGAGGCCTACGACGTGCTCAGCGACCCGCGCAAGCGCGAGATCTTCGACCGCTACGGAGAGGAAGGTCCGTGAGCGCGCGCGCGGCTGGGGGCGCGTCCCCGCCGTTTGACAGGCGGGGAAACCGAGGCAGCGCAGTTTGGCTGCGGAATCCCTGGGGGATGGTGGGAGATGCCGGGTGCGGCGAGCAGTCCCCGCCCTCTAGCCACGCGAGCCTACGCCCTCGCAAAGGCGGCCGCTAGATGGGAGGAGGAACCGTGGCCGCGCCGCTCACCCAGAAGCTTCTAGCACGTCTAGAGCTGCACCTCCCTGGGCGCCTCCGCCCGCCTCCCTGGTTGCGGGTGCAGACGGGGAGGGGGACGGAGGTTTCTTAGGCTGTTGATGCTCCGGGCCTGCCTATCGCGGCTGATCTGGAAGAGGGTGGGGGCTGTGCCGTCCCGGGCTGCAGTTGGGCAAGGCTTTTGGCTGAGCGCCGAGCAGTGAGCCTTCAACGGGGAGCGCTAGTTCTCGTCCACCTCCCTCCCGGGCTCCTGGGAGGGCGGGGTGAGCTAATCCCTGTAAAGTGCTTACCCAACCCACAACCAGGCATGCCGATGGCAGCCAGCGCCCACTTCGGGCTGTCCAGGTGCAGAGATCTGTGGGGCCCACCTCTAACGCAGCCTCCCTAGGTAGCAGTCCTCAGGGAAAGAGAAAGGAGCTTTCGTGTTTGTCCAGTTGTTCGTGGATAATTCAAACTGTTTTCTGGGCTTGGTGTTAAGAAGTTAAGTGGCTTTTTTATGTAAGGATGGTGGCAGTTTTTGTCAGGGTGTGAGAATGGGAAAGTCTACGTGTATTGTTTTATCAACATTTTTTACTCGCCCCACACACATCTTCAGCCCTAAAGTGCTTAAAAGTGGACAGTGAAAACTGGCTCTGGATCTTGGTTTTTTTTTAAGTCTATCTTTTTAGTGAATTCTTTTAATTCATTGTATCATTGCTGGAGGGTGAGTCAGTGAAGAAGTGACAGGATCTGAGTGGTCCCGAGAGGATCATGTCAGA